AATAATTTTAATTCGTTTTAAAAGTATTATAAATAAAGATATATATATGGTACGTTTGACTAAGAACTTTAGTTTTTTCTCGGTATAGTAAAACGTCAGATTTTTTACAATACAAAGTTGTTTATAAATTCTTTTGTAATTACAGTTTATTATAAATACTGAAAATAATCTCTTATACAAATAGGTGCTTAAGGAATGGAAAAACCATGTGGACGAGACAAATTTAAAGATCCCAGCAAAGAATCTATTTGAGGGTCTAGGTTCTTTAGGCAACGGCGGCGCAATGAGGATTGCACCTGTTGCATTATTCTCATACAACAATTATGACACTTTTATATTATGTCAGAGAAGTAACGGAAATTACACACGCACATAAGCAAGGGATAGACGGTGCTATTTTACAAGTAACTGCAAATTAATTTTTAACATTGAAAAAATACAGTACATATGTATACATATAGAGGTCCCCTATTATGAAATAGGCTCCTAATTTCAGATAGCGTAGTTTCTGCTAAATTAATAGGCATTATTTGCTGATTCCATCGTGAATTTATTGCCCTTGGAGAAAAGTCTGTTTAGTGAAAAATTGATTGTTAAATCGTGTAATCATTGCGAAGAAAAATTTGTCATTGAATTTGGATGTTGAAAATCTACTATCTCGTATTAGAATCCTATCTCATAATAGAGAACTGTTCTCTACATATACACGGTGACTCATTTTAAGTGACGCATTAATTTTGCTCAAAAACCAAGGCTTGTATAAAAAACTTGTTTTAAACAAGTATAAAAAAAACTTGTTTTAAACAAGTATAAAAAACTTGTTTTAAACAAGTATAAAAAAAAACTTGTTTTAAACAAGAGGTGTTTTATTCGAAGAGGGACATAAGATGGTACAATTGGCTTGACCTTGGGTGAACGTGCCAAGGTCACATAAAGGTCAACTGTGTTTTTCAAAATGGAATCTATTTTTTATTAGACATTCCTGAAGCTTACCTCGAGAGCTTTCCAAAGCACTATACTAAGTAGTTTTCATCGAGTATTTTTCGATCTAACGAGTAAAAGCAAGATCGGTGATTGGATCAACCACCGATCTTTTAAGTCTTATAACTCGAAAAATACTCGATAAAAACTACTTTAGTATAGTGCTTTGGAAAGCTCTCGAGGTAAGCTTCAGGAATGTCTAATAAAAAATAGATTCCACTTAGAAAAACAAAGTTGACCTTTATATGACCTTGGCACGTTCACCCAAGGTCAAGCCAATTGTACCATCGTATGTCCCTCTTCGAATAAAAATTTGTTTGAAACGTTTTTTTTATACAGGCCTCGGTTTTCGAGAAAAACCAATGCGTCACTTGAAATGAGCCACCCTGTACATATATTTCTGTATTAATTGTTATTTGTCACAAAAGTCCATTATTGTCACAGGCTATAGCAATTCAACAAAGTCTATATTTAAATCCTAGTGAAGAATTGAATGTTACCAATTTTGTTGACGATCTTATAAACAAAATGGATAAAATTGAGAGTGATGCAAGGTACGTTTTATATCGCGATATACTTTTACTATTTCTATTATTACGTTTACAATAGATATTGATTATAATGTATCAATTATAGCGGATTATATAAAGAGCGGCTAGGCAGAGTAAAGAATCTACTTTCTGAGGATGGGGATGATCCTAATGAGCAAAGGGTAATTGAAGAACTGAATGTTAGTGACAGAGCTTTAGAGTCAGTTCCTACCGCGATTTTTTGTTTTCTAAGAGCACAAAGGAGCATTAAAAATATAGGAACTGATAATCCTCTCAGAAGAGCAATTCAATATGCTGTAAGTTATAGCAAAACCTACAATTCACAGATCAAATTATTATTATCGATTTTATATAGCAAAAAATATTTGAAAGTACCATTTACATCAACTTGTCTTTATCACTATTTTATAGCTCTCTTTGGGAGGCGACATAGATACGGTTGCTAGTATGGTCGGTGCAATAGCAGGCGCTTTCTACGGTGACGAAAAGTTCAGTCTGCTGCTTCTATCGCATTGCGAAGAATGGGAACGATTTCGAGAAATGGCTGATAGATTGCTGGATATAGCAACATCCATTGATACTGTTACGTCCGGCTCCGCCGTCCGCACAACACCTCGCGAACCCGCGTGCGCGCTCGTGTAATTGAAATAGAGCCGTGTGAGGAAGGAAAAAGGAGATCTTTATTACACAGAAAGAACGGCCCTCGAACGTCTGCACCAGGCAGGGGCCAAACTCTGAATTCGTTTACAAACGTGTTAACAACAAAACACAACCGTAACCAGGCAACTTGAACATCATAGAGGGAATTCGCCAAATCGCCAGATACTGGGCGTCCAATATTAGCGGGCGTAACAATACAAATAAATGAATAATATATGTATAAAATATATACAGAATATAAACTAATTCCATTATTTATACGGTGATATTTCTCATAAAAAAACTGAGTCGAAAAGCATTAAACCATTTTTTTCAAATTATGCTTTATAAAGTAGTTATTATTAATTAAAAATTAGCCAATCAGCATCACTTTTTAAACGGATGCACGTTTGTGAACCGCGTATCTATACTAGGGTGCGTGAAGTAAACCGCGGGTCCTAGCAGTGTCCGTGGTGTGTCTGATTAAAAAATGATGCCGATTGACTAATCTTTATTTAAAACAGTTTTTAATTCAGAAGATTGTATGTTTTTTGGTTTTTACATTTTATTTATAATGCTCCCTTACAGAATTTTATTTAACAATTTACTATTTGGCATACCAGGTGGCATATTTCTTACTATAAATATCAATTTCTAATTACAATACACATTTATATTTTTGCTAGTTTATGTATTTTACACACACATACACTCTCTCTCTCTCTTCCACGTGTTGTTAACATATTTCATTTTTAATATAGAGGGCGTTAATTAAAGACAGCCCACTAAGTACATAGCGTTATTCCTTATAAAAATCTGAGTCGGAAAGTCCTGAATCATTTTTTTCCTATCATACTTAATAATGAATAAGGTAAGTCAATCAACTGAGCCGCGCGTCTGGTAGTGTGCGCGAGCGCCCGGCCGCCGGCTCACTGATGTGTGCCCGGCTAAAGGCCGGTGCTCAGTAGATTGACTCATTAATTATTAAGCATGATAGAAAAAAATGGTTCAAGACTTTTCGGCTCAGATTTTTATAAGGAATAACGCCATGTACCTAGTGGGTGGTCTTTAATTAACACCTTTTATAAGGAATAAAAAATATTTGATAACTGAGTTATTTGGAAAAGAAATCTGTGTGAGTAGTAGCCATTATTTTTTTCAATATTACTATTTGCTACGAAATTGGACTTACATTGATATAATCGTGCTTTTATTAGACTTGTAATAGAAATAGAAAATAATATCAATATTTCATAGGTTTCATGTAAATAAAAAAAAATGGGAGAGAAGAGGAAAGACACTTCAGGAACCGCTTTTGATGAAGTCGGTCCCATTCTCTCAACAATCACAGAGATTTTATAAGCCGCGCGATCAGTCTGTTACTCTATCGAAGCACACGCTAAAAGTGCAAGTTCTAGTATACATACGTCAATAATCCAAGTATAATAAGATTAATAATTGTATATGGCAACGATATCATAAACGATGTCTCTTGTGTAAAGCTAAAAATTTACCAATTGTTCATCAATATAAAAAACAATGGCTATTATTTCAATAATACCACATTTTTATCGCACATAATACATTCATTTTTAGACACTTTCGATCTGAAGTGTTCAACTTACAATTAAATTTTTAATCATTATGAAACGGAGGGGGAGGAGTTAAACATTTAGATACTTTCAAAAAAATGCAGAGGCTTTGAAAAAATAAGAAAGATAAAATTTTCAAAGATTAATCAATATGATATCAGATAAATACTTGATGAAACTCTAGATCTGTCTTAAACAAAATTAAATTAAATTTCCTTGAACGGGTCAACTGTCGGATTCTCAGCCGCAGTTCTACAGGGTGTTATGTAATACCCGCATCAACGCTTATTGTGGGATAGAGTGGACTAC